ATTAAATATTAAAACCTTCCCTAAATTTCCCTAAATTGACAGGTCTGAGCGAATCCATAAAAACAAGACCTGATCAATCCAAACTGACTGTTCTTCTTTTCTTTTCCTTTTTTTAAGAGTCTTGTGTTTTCTGTAGTACAATCCTAAACATGTCTCCTCAGAAGTAACCCCCACGGAATTCAGTTGCAGGTAAGTGTGTATAGAATTTCAGCCCTAGTCCCCATACATGCAGAAAGCTAAACCAGACATATGTGGCTTTGGGTGGGGAGGAAAGCTTCAGCTGTTATTATTTTTTCCTGGGCCACAATGTAATCTTCTGAAATCACTTCAGCAAGATTCCAAGCCATGTAAGGCTTTTTAGTTTAAAAGCAGCACTTTCAACTGGTGCTATGTGGTCATGCAATCAATACCCAATACCCATGTGTTGCTCCTTTTTTGGGGGGGGGGGGAGAGAGAGGATTGTTTATTTTTAATGCAGAAAAATGGAAGGGGGGGAATCGCTTTCCAAGTATGAGGATTTTATTTATTTATTTAATTAATTTAGCAAATAACTTCCTCAAAAATAGTCTCTCAAGGCAACTTACCGAAATTCAACGGCACAAAATAAAATAAAGCACAAACTACAATAATGAAAGAAAAATAAATATCATAAATACTTAAAGAAGCATAACCATAAAAAAAAAAAGAATCATGCTTGAAAACCAATTTACAATTAGCAGCTGTCACACAACACAGAATTCACGGGAGTAGAGTCAAGTCTTAACTGGGTGCCGGGGGAGGGGGGGAGAGTGATGCCAGAACCAGCTGGCCTTACAGGGGTGAGCATTTCACAATGTGAAAACTACAACTGAAAAAGCCCCTCCCACGGTGCCACCCTCTGAACCTCTCTCTTGGCATAGCTGTCAAGTGTCCCTTATTTGAAGGGACAGTCCCTTATTCCAGCACCATGTCCCGCTGCTGTCCCTTATTGATGGATGTCCCTTAAATGTCCCTTAAATGATGTCCCTTAAATTTCAAAGGAAGCAGCTCCTCTCCCTCCCTCCCTGCCGGCCAGGGAGGAGGGAGGCTCCAACTGTGTTGCTTAGCTGTGTTGCTCACCCAATAAGAAGTCTAAGAACGACTGGGGGGTGGATCTTGCATGCCTTGTGTGTGGCTAGTTAATGCAAGCTGAGGGGGGTTTTGAATGCTGGATGCCATTTTGTTGCACGTGCTGCTGCAAACTTTGCAGTGCAAAGCCAGGCCGGGAGCCATCTTAAGTTGAGGCTGCATAGGCCTTGTGGTGCATGTGATTCAGATTCTATTCAGTTGAACCTCTGGTTACAAAGTTGGTTGGACAGTGTTCTCGAAGCTACCAGCATGAGTTTGACCAGACTGCAGGAGGACAGGAAGACTGGAGTGCCTGGAACAGGTGAGCCTACAGGTCCCTTATTTTGGCTGCTGGTCCCTTATTTTCAAATCTGTAAGTTGACAGCTATGTCTCTTGGACACCTGGGGAAGGGTCACCAACGTTGATCTTAAGGTCTGAATAGGTTCATGTTGGGTGTTGGGTGAGGTATTAGGGTCCCAAACCATGTCAAGTTTTGCAAGTTAAAAGCAGTATTTTGAATTGGGCACAGAAACAGACAGGTGTGCAGTGGAGCTATGCCGAAAATGGCTAGACCACCTAGTCACTGTCAGCAGTCTGGCTGTCACATTCTGCACAAACTGCATTTGCAAACCATCTCCAAAAAAATACCCACATCTAACTCATTCAGTAATCTCACCAGAAGGTTACTGGAACATAGATTATGGAAGCCAGGTTATCCCTATTTTACATCCAGATAGGGAGGTAGCTGAACCACTAGCTCATGGGTAGGCAGACTAAGGCCCGGGGGCCAGATCTGGCCCAATCGCCTTCTAAATCCGGCCCACAGATGGTCCTGGAATCAGCATGTTTTTACATGAGTAGAATGTGTGCTTTTATTTAAAATGCATCTCTGGCATATTTGTGGGGCATAGGAATTCATTCATTTTTTTTTTCAAAATATAGTCCGGCCCCCCACAAGGTCTGAGGGACAGTGGACTGGCCCTCTGCTGAAAAATTTGCTGACCCCTGCATTGCTGGTCGAAGCTGGGAATATAAGGGGACCCAAGCTGATAACAATATTCTGCCTCAGTGAGCTACCCAGCCACTGCATGTTGCACTTCTTAAAGCTTCCAGGTCAACCTCAGGGGCAACCCACACAGACTGAATTGCAGTAATCCAGTCTGGAAGTTACCTGGATAGGGATGACAGTAATCTGGCTACCACAGTCCAGAAACAGCCAAAGCTGTCTGATCAGATGAAGCTGACAAAAAGCACTTTCAGTCACCAAGATCACCTTGGCCTCTAGTGACAGAGTCAGATTCAGGAGCAGCCACAGGCTGAAAACCAGCTCATTCAGGGCAAACATGAACCACCTAAGGCAGGCTATTGGCCAACGATATGGATCTGGGAACCACTCTGCCGTGTGAGCGCTAAGGATTGTTGCATGGACAGGCAGAGTCCCCTCAACCCCAGGAAGCTCTGAAGCCAACTGACACTTCACAGGTAAGATTCACCTTCTGTTGTGTGGGCAGGGCAGTCCCTCCCCCTACCTGGCCGATCCCCGGGCAACGCCTCCCCAGGCGGGATTGGGCGATTGGCTGAGGTAGGCAGAGACCTCCAGGTATCCAGCCTCGGGAGGCTGAAGCCAGCCCGTACTGCCGGGAGCCGCACTGGGATCTGGGGGGCTGCGCGTGACCACGCAAAAGGCACCCCCCATTTGATGTGGGGGGCGGTCATTATGGTTACAGTGCTTGTGTTAATCCATGCAGGAATGAAACTTGCCTCTTTTCACATCACCCTAAAAAGCAGATAAAGTTTTGTCCTATTGAGAAATGTGTTCCCTCTCAGAACATCAGAGGCAATATTAAAGGGGAAATGGTCTCCTTCACACAAGATTTTTAAAACTATTTTTTGAAGAGTAAAACTATGGGGAAAGTTTCATGACACCCAGGCTGAAATTTGGCAGGAACTTTCTAGGCCATGTAAAACTGCTTCATGAGCTGGACCTTGTCCAAGGCTGACTACTAGCCACTCCTGCTTTACATCACCACGCAGTGAATAATAAATAAATAAATAAATAAATAAATAATAAATAATTTTATTTATTTATTTATACATACATACATACATACATACGTACATACATACATACATACATACCCCAGCCACTCTGGGCAGCTTCCAACAAAATATTATACATACATTAGAACATCAAACATTAAAAACTTCCCTAAACAGGGCTGCCTTCAGATGTCTTCTAAAAGTCAGATAGTTGTTTATTTCTTTGACATCTGATAGGATGTTCCACAGGGCAGGCCCCACTACTGAGAAGGCCCTCTGCCTGGTTCCCTGTAACCTCAGTTCTCACAGGGAGGGAACCGCCAGAAAGCCCTCGGAGCTGGACCTCAGTGTCAGGGCTGAACGATGGGGGTGGAGACACTCCTTCAGGTATACAGGACCAAGGCCGTTTCTAAACAAAATAAACTAAATATAGAACTAAATATACTTAATAAACTAAATCTAGAACATAAAGAAACAGAGAAACTGCTGAGCATGTTTGTTCAAACCACTCTGTTTATTTTTGTGAACAAATGTACAAAGATTACTCCCTTTCAAAATGCAGAAGTTTGAAACCAGAAGTCTAGTTCAACATGTTTGTTTTACAACAAAAAAAGTATAGGTTTCCTGTTATTTGGTCAACTGGATTCCTTGTGCCAATTGGCATTTTACAAAGTGATCCAACGCAAAGTAGCAAGATCCTTATAAAATGACCCAATTTCATTTCATAAAGCTAATAAATTAATCCCTAAAACAGCATTATTAAATGGAAGGATTTTTTACCCATCAGGATGAAAATCATATGCTGCTGTGATAGATTACCTTTACAGTAAATGCAAATCTAATTTAGTATTACCATAAAATCCTCTGAGACTGCAGTAAAATACTTGGCCTGGCGACATCATTGCTTCAAGTAATCTGCACACAAGGCATGTGTTTCTTTTACTAAAATAGCAAATATATAAATGGTGTTATGCTGAAGCTGCTTCAAAAACCAATCACAAGCACTTTACAGCTACTAAATACGGTGGCCGTGACCTGTAGGTGATGTGGCTCCATTTTTCTCTCTCCCTTTAACGTTTGAGCATGCATTAAGAAAAGCATGCCTTTCTCAAAGTATCTTTCTGTAGATAAGCTGTTGCTGCTGGACCCATATCAAGACTAGGGACGGAGGAGAATCTAATTCAGTCTGCATTGTTAAGTGAAGAATTTACACCTCCTGCACCAATACATGGATTATAATGTAATTACCCTTTGCAATATAGTTCTCAGCTTAAGACGTGTTCCAAAACGATATATTTTAGAACTGTTACGTTGATATAACATATGTATTTAAATCTGTATAAATATATAAAAATACAGATAATCTCTCTCACACAAGCATATGTATGCATGATAAAAAAATATTTAAATACAAATTTTCATGCAGATTTTTTTTTTGTTTCAACCATTTTCCAACCACACCATAAACATTTTCAACAATTTCTTGCTCTCCTGTTCTAAGATTTTTATTATCTTCAATAAGTAGTATCACAATGACCTCTCTATCCAGCGTTGGTAAAATGTTTGGGTTGGGGTTTTTCATTTGGGTTTTTTTTAATCCCCAGCCCACTGTTGTTGTTTTGTTTTTAGAGGGTACTTCCACAGACTCTCTCTCTCTCTCTCTCTCTCTCTCTCTCTCTCTCTCTCTCGATCACTGCTTTATCCCCAGGAAACCTTGAAAACTATCATGTGTGACTGGAGCTGGAGATGTCTAACAGATCCCTGTCAAACTACAATTCTCAAGATGTTGTGTGGGAGGAAGACCTGCCAATTTAACTGGCATAAGACTAAATATGCGATTATAAAACAGATATGCCCTACATAATGTGGGAGCTGCAGCTCTGGAAGATTTTGCTTGAAGCCCAGGGGGATCAGAGGTATATCACTTGTGCACAGATCTTTTAAGTTATTCCCAACCTTTTATTACTGGGATTGCATGGAGGGCGGGGTGGGACCCAATACCTGAAGCTAGGCAACTCTGGGTCAAAACAGAAGTGACAAAAACCATGCAATTGGTAATTGTGTGAATGGTCTCCCTTAAAAAAACCACACACACACACACACACACACACACGTAAATAGCAGCACTGAGAGAAGGGCAGTCTGAACCAGAACCAAAGTAGGGACAAATGGTTACATTCTCACCAACACTGTCCTGAAGTGGATGAGGTGCCTATGGCCTGCTATTTACGTTTTAAACAAAAAAGTAAATAGCAGTCCATAGGCACCTATAGACTGCTATTTACTTTTTTGTTTAAAACGTAAATAGCAGCCCTGGGGCTCCATCTTAATTAGCACTGTGCAGGGAGGGATAAGTGATTTAACCCTTTGCCCCTGCTACGGTGCCATTCTGGATTTCCACCTACTCCAGACACTTGCTTTAAAAACAATCAATAATGCAGTTAATCTTCTATGATTGTTATTACATTTGCTGGATCCCTTTATTGCTTAAATCAAATGGTTCTTTTCCAGCTACACCATCAAGCATTTTCTCCACCAGCTGGCAGAATGAAGTTCATGCAGATATGAAGTTCATGTTGGTGTGCGCTGGATCGTTTACTTTTGGGCATCTCTGCATAAGCAGCACTAATTGGTTCCATCTGCACTGCTTGCGTCCATACTGTCCCCAATCACAGATACTGAATTGTGTCAATACCAAGTCAACCCATCTTTGATCGCACTGTTCCTTGGATTGAAATTCAGGAATACATGGCTAGTTCTTTTATTCTGTATGTGCATCTGCCTCAGTTTCAATCTTTAGCAAACCAGTATAAAGTTAGGCTCTTAATATTTTCGATGAGATAAACTTTTTTGAACAGCAAAACTTTTAAAAAAGAAAATCATACGCAATGCAAAGTGAAGCTGTATTAGAGTATCAAAACGAACTAGGAGATAAATAATATTGTAAAAGATTGATGATATTTGTTACTAGGTTTGAAAATCTACCCCTTAGAATTAAAGAAGTAGATGGATAATCAATCTGTTCTACATGTTGGATGTATTTCTCTAGAAGTTCCTGGCCTTGTAGATTTCAGGGAGTGACACATGGTCTGAACACTGCTTATACTGCTACCAAGCAAATAAATGTGCTACTCTTTCTCATCAATATGAATGTCTGCAGTGCCCGAAATTCAGTGGGAAAAAGTATTTCATTAATCAGCTTCCACTTCAAGAATCAACAAAGGCAGAAAGAATAAGCCATATTGTACACACAAGCACACCTGAAAGGGGGTGGGGGTGGAATCCTTACATGTTTTACTTTCTCTCCCACTATTTATTTATGTTATAAATGTATGTAGCTTGAATCAAGAAAAAAAACAAAAACTGGCCTAGGCTGGGTACATAATAAACTCAGTATGGTGTAATAAAATTACAGTTACCACAATCAATAACCAAACATAAAGACAGGATCATACAATCCTGCCATCTTAGCATCATTCCCCAAGAAAATTCTCTTTATGGTGTCCTCATCTCACCTTCTGAGATCTTTCATTTCTATCACAACTCTAAGTATCATGAATGCTTTTCCATGGACATCTAGCAAAAGAAATGAATTTTAATCTAGTGACACACATGCGCGTGCACACACACACACACAGGCTATAGGGTGCAATAAAGTGCATGCTCAATACATTTTGCTGCCTGATGTGGAGCTAGATTGCTCCCCACTCGAGGTCAGGACTTTTGAAAGTTTTGCTGCGCAAGTCAGACACAATTCCTGATTTCAGAGTGCCTGTTTTAAGCAGGCCACTTCATTCTACTGCAGGGCAGGGCCAACCCTGTCTGATGCTGATCATAACTGCAGGGAACCTGTGCACATCATGCTTCTGGCTGAAATGGGAGAATGCAGGATCTAATCCACAAAGAGAATATGCATACAGTAGGGATGTATGGCTCAGGACTGTTGTATCTCAGGAAGGGCCATAGCTCTGTGGTAGAGCACCTGCTTTGCATCCAGAAGGCTCATTTCCCCAGCACTTCTGGGTAGAGCTGGGACAGATTCCCTGCCTGAAATCCTGGACAGCTGTTGTCCATCAGTGCAGTCAATCCTGAGCTAGAAAGACCAACAGGTCTGACTTGATAGAGGACTTTTTCCTATATTCCTATCTTTCAGAACTCTTCTCCTGATATGAACCTATGTCAATCCTTTGTTCTTCATCTAATGCTCTTTCCAAGGTTCTCCTTCTGAGGGAAACATGGAGGGTGGCAGCAAGGGACAAGGCATTGTGGCTTCCCACTTCTGAAACGTTCCCCAGGGAGGACTGCCAATTGCCACCATCCTTTCAGCACCAAGTAAAAACTTACCTGTTCTCCAAATATTTGGAGATTACATTGAATGTTGCTAGTTACCGAAGGGTGTTCCCAACAACAGAAGACTTGCTGGATTTTTAAAGAACTGTTATGGGTTAGTGCAATGGTTTTGTTGCAATGCATTGCTTTTGACTTTGCGCTTTTATTTTATTTTTCCAAGTTGCTTAATTTTTAGTAGTAGGTAAATAGGTAAAGGTAAAAAGGTAAAGGACCCCTGGATGGTTAAGTCCAGTCAAAGGTGACTCTGGGGTTGTGGCACTCATCTTGCTTTCAGGCCAAGGGAGCAAGCATTTGTCCACAGACAGTTTTCCAGGTCATGTGGCCAGCATGACTAAACTGCTTCTGACGCAACGGAACACTGTGGCAGAAACCAGAGTGCACGGAAACACCGTTTACCTTCCCGCCACAGTGGTACCTATTTATCTGCTTGCACTGGCATGCTTTTGAACTGTGATAGGGTGGCCATGTTTCTTACTTTACAGATAAGAGACCTCTCTTTGATTGGTTGCCTGGTCCAAGTTTGATTTAAGGATAAGGAATCATGCGTGGGAAGAAAAGGAACCTTGAAGTTGCCCATCAGCAATACCTCGACTTCTGTGTGAGCAGGCACACAAACCACCTAGTCACAGTCTCTTTTCCATTATGCTGAGATGTATTACACTACTATTTAAATTATAGTAATCATTTCTAAATTAGCAGCTATACATATAAATTAGCTTATACAAAATTATGAAAACGTATGTCCTCTTTAGTCCTCTTTTTTCATTATTTCTTTTTGGTGATGTGTAAGCGGACCCCCTAAGTAGTAACCGTAACTCCTACAACTTAACAGCTAGTCAGCCTGACAACTGGAACTTCAATATCTGTCCCTACTTGAACTGTTTCTTCCATTCTGCTCCTGGTTTAATCATTAATCATGAAGGGGGAAATCACTTAACAGGATCAGCTGGATCCAGTCAAGCAGCATTCTGGTAACACCTTTGCTGAGCTGTAGGTCTTGATGAGAAATTTACTGGGGCTGTGTTTGCATCCCCTGAACTCATCTGTGGCCAATTTCAGACTTTGCATGAGCCCAGCCCAGTTTGGCCTCAAATTGAATCAGGGGCAGAGCTAATGTTTAATTCAGGAGGGGGGGGACAGGAGATGCTCTGTCTCCTCCCCCCCATCTCGACCTAACTGTGGAGATCAGGATTGAACCTTCTGCTTACCAGCTGGTGAGCAGACAATTTAATCCTGCTGGGTGCTGCTTTAAAAGCATGTTCCCTGCGGCCAGCAGAATTGAACCCTCAGACAAATCCTGTTTACAGCCCTAATATTCATGTGCTGGATCCCCAGCATGCCCAGCAATAGGGCTTTGGACACATTTGTGGGCAATATGCCCACAAGTAGCCACTGATGGGCCAAAGAATTAAGACGTGAACCTCCATGTTCAAAATATCCACTAAACCCCATATCCAAATACAGTCTGTGCCCCACTGAACTCAAAATGGGAGTCACTGAGTGATACAGTGGTGCCTCGCAAGACGAAATTAATCCGTTCCGCGAGAGTCTTCGTCTAGCGGTTTTTTCGTCTTGCGAAGCAAGCCCATTGACGGATTAGCGCTATTAGCGCTATTAGCGGTTTAGCGGCTATTAAAGGCTTAAAGGCTTAGGGGATTAGCTGCTAAAAGGCTATTAAAGGCTATTAAAGGCTTAGCAGATTAGATAAAGGGGGGGAAAAGCGAAAAAAAAATCTCAAGACTCGCAAGATATTTTCGTCTTGCGAAGCAAGCCCATAGGAGAATTCGTCCTGCGAAGCAACTTCAAAACGGAAAACCCTTTCATCTAGCGGTTTTTCCGTCTTGCGAGGCATTCGTCTTGCGGGGCACCACTGTATGGGGAAAGTAAGAGCTCATCCAGTTTTCCACTTGTCCCACTGTTTCCCCCCAAGAAAATCCGATCTTTACCACTGAATTGGAGCAAACGCCAATTGGGGTTTCTGCGGAATGACGTTTGTTCCAATTAACTATAAACAGGAAAGCAGCAGGAAAAGCAGAAAACTACTCAGACCCATCTCTATAAAGCATGAGACAAGCAGAAAACCTCTTGGACCCATGCTTTCTAGGCTCAGGACAAGCAGAAGTGTGGACAAACCCCAAGTATCAAGGTGCCATTGAGCATGCAAAGCACATACTGTAGATAACAGGAAGCCACACAAAATATGCATTATAAATACTTCTGTACAGAAGACGACTAGCAATATTCATTTCATCAGAAAATCAACTCAAGAATGCTTATGTATATAATGTTCCATTGCAAACGGTTATTTTATTGGATATATGGACTAACCTTTTAATCTTAGGGTGTTTGATAAGAGACAGTAATGTTGTAATTTTACACACACCTGGGAGTAAGCCCCTTTGGGCACAATAAATAAATATGCTGAGACAGAGCTGCATTTTAGTCTGGAGTGAGTCACTGGCAAATGTTAGTGCTTTATATATAACATCAAGAACCTTTTAAAAATAAAATGTATATTTTAATCAATGTAGTTTGCATTCACTTTGCAGAAAGAAGCGTGCCAAATGCAATGTTAGCATCATTTCTGAAAATGGCCATGGGGAGTGAGGTTTTCCATTTCAGCTGGGGTTATACAAAATCTAAGAAAGAAGAAACCTAGCATGCAGCCAGAGACATTGCACTCTGTTCGATTTATTCTGAATCTGTACAATCTGTACAGGTTTGGAGCTACAAAAAAAGAAAACCAACTTAAACCTTAAACACAATGCTACATCCCACTTCACGACACGAAGGTATTTATTTTAAATTCCTCCCAAAATGTTTACATTTAGGGTGGGGGAGGGGTGGGATTTGTAGCCTCCATTTTTCCGAGAGATTGGGAAATTATGAATGTGTGAAGTTCAATAAACTACTCCATCCAACTGAACAAGACTCTCCCATGAAGCATTTCAAAGCATCTTTGAAAGTGAAGTAT